TTTGTCACTGAGTCAGAGCCTGAATGTTTCTGCATTTGTTCCAGGACCCACCTGCTTCCCCAGTTCTTTTCTCCAGCTTTATGTGACAAGCAAGAAGCTGTTGCCATATGTCCTAGCGGGGAAGCCTTCCCTTTGCAGAGCAGCAGGGTAAGGGAATCTTGCTCAGCTTGGAGACCTGAGAAGAAATGGTCCTGGAGCCTTGCACCAGCCAGCCACTGAGCATAAAAATACTCCACTGCAATTTGATTTTGTTAGTTGTGTCTCAATGTCCCATCTGTTAAATGGCCCTCTGCAAGCATATGGGCCTTGTCCAAACACAAATTTGTGAGATGTAGTTATAATAATGTAGTCCTCCCCACAAAACACACAAAGCTTTAATGAATAACATTCTGGGCACTGCAGCCAAAGATGCACGCTAGTATTCAGGTTTCTGAGTGCTACTTCAAGTCGTGTACGAGCTCGGATGGATGTTCCATTTATACATGCAGTGCTATTGCATCAGTAAATTCATGAGGTTGTTGGACCACCCTGTCAGTCAAACAGCAGCCTCACCAAAATTGCAGTGCACAAACCTGAAATGCTCTAGGATATAATATCTACCTATTGATTTATTTATTTATTTACCTTGCAGAAAACCTATCCAGTAGACTGAAGAAGGATTTTAGTGAATTGAGCATACTAATCATACTAATACATACATAAAAAATCAAATTTTCTTCCTAGACAGGTAAATTATTATCACATTAAATATATTTTATATATTTAATACATATCATGCACAATGCTTCATTCTTTTGGTGCCCTAGACTGTATGTAAGAGCAGAGCTTGGTTACTATGTCCTTCATAATTTCCAAAATTGATATTTATGGTGACAGTAAAATTAACCTGTTCCTAAAATACACTGTGCTTGTGGAGAATATTTGAAATAGGGCTGTGAAAGTTTAAACAGCCTGAACTGGCTTAATTTGTAACCACTTCATCATTTCTGTGAAAAGTAAGATATCTGTGTAACAAAAACAGTTCATAACACCAGCTTGCTCTGCTCTCTTATGGAGATGAAAATAGTCCAACTTCATGTCTCAACATTTTGTCTACACAGCATTCATGTAGGGAGCAAATCTGTCTGATACCTTGCTGCTTGTTTTACTTCCTCCTGCTCTTAGTTTTGATATTTTTATTGAACTTTCTGACAGCATTTCCTTTTAATAAGGGGTTGTGAGTACTAAAGATTTCACAGGAACACTGGCTGTATCTCCTTTTCTTGTTTAAATATGAAATACAATTACTACAAAATTGAGAGAACAATGAAGAGCTTGACTGTTCTTAGTTCCCACTTCAAAGTACCATGCTATAATGAAATCCTGTGAGAAAATGTAGAACATGCAATAAATTCCAAAATACAGAGTTATTCTGTGAAAGTCACTGCCAGAAAATAACAGCCATTTTAAGGGCATTCCAAGTATCATCAACAGTCGATATCATTTACAATTACAAGGGATATAAATCTTTAAGCTCTGGGTTTCTAGTTATCAAGCTAAGCAACTGATATCTATTCTGTGGAAGAAATGTGTGTGCATGTTATTGTACAATTCACTTTTCCAAGCTTTTTGCACTTCTTTTGAAATATTTAGCTACCATCAGAGAGGATGCTAGACCACTGATCTGATTCCCTAGCACTGTGAAGGTGTTCCACTTCTTCCTAACTGTACCCATTTCTATTAGAGAGTTATTGTGTCACGGTGGAGAAATACTAACTTAGGGATCCTGCAGTATATGGCATTACAGGGGACTGCTGAAGCAGACTAGAGCACTGTTCCTGTAATGCTGCAGTCGGGCTAATGCTGTGAATCGTATGATTGATGTCCTAGGGGCTGCACTCCCTGCTGGTTTAAACAGGAAGCTCTTCTCGTATCATTTCAGTTCAGCAAACAAGGCCACTTCCTTAACAATACAATAACAGGAATTTGATCAGAAACTTCAAAATTCAGTTCTTGGAGGCATGAAGCTGATTGCTTTCATTCTTGCATTATCTGCAGTTATTAGGCATAAAAGTTGTGCTTCTTGTTTTAAAAAAAATAGGTTTTCCTCGTATTCTTTTCACAAGGAGGAATCTGGCTTTTTTATGATTGCTAAAATATCATCCCCTTTTTGCTAGAGATTTCTCATTCTTCTTTATTCCCTTCAACTAGATTTACATTGCCAATATCGCATTGTGATTCGGCAGGAAAATGCACTCAGCTGCTTCTAAGTACTTTTCTTCTTTTAATGTCCCTATGTGGTTCACCACTGGGAGCAGCAGTTTTAGGCACACATTGTTCAGGTGCTGGTTGCTCTAGAGGTAAGCCTCTTCCACTGCCTGTGTTCATTTGCTGCTTCTATTCAGATACGAGAAATATTACAGCTAAATAAAACAGAATTATTTATATTGCAGAACTAAATTATTTGCCTTGTTGTTTTTTGCTGGTAAGATTTGCTTTCAGGGCCATGGAGGTCAGTGAAAAAGACCAGAGCTCTGAAGACTTAACCTCAGCAGAGGCAAATCGAGTTAGAAAATGTAGAAACAAATAAAACATACACAAGTCCATAGGATCTGGTGGGACTCATCCATGAGTGCAGGGCTGCTCTCGATGATATATGAAAGGTCATAGCAGTCGGAAGAGGTTCCTGGGGACTGTAAGAAAGCAAATGTCATGCCTGTTTTCAAGAAGGGCAGGAAGAAGAATCCAGGGGACTATAATCCTGTCAGCCTCACCTCAGTCTCTGGGATGGTGATAGAGCACCATCCCTCCTGGAAGATATTTTCAAGCATACCGACAAGATGGTTGGGAGTTATCGACATGGATTTAAGCAGAGGAAATTGTGCCTGAACAATCTGGCTTTGCAGGCAAGGGGAGAGTGATGGATGTCGCTTATCCCTATTTTAGCAAGGCTTTTGACATCATCTCCCATAACATCTGCATAGACAAACAAGTGAAGTAAAGACTGGATAAATGAAGGTGGACTGAAAACTGGCTGAACTTTTGGGCTCAAAGGGTTGTGATCAGTGGTACAAAGTCCAGCTGGAGACCAGGCCCTTGTGCAGTACCACAGGGGTTGATGCAGGGCCCAGTACTTGTTCACCTTCTTCATTAAGAACCAGGTGATGGGACAGAGTGCACCCTCAGCACGTTGACAGATGATACAAAGCTGGGAGGAGTGGTTGATAAACCAAGTGGGTGTGCTGCCTTTCAGAGGGACATTGAACCTCAGAGGGACAGGAACCTCACAAAGTTCAACAAAGGGAAATCTGAGTCCTGCACCTGGGGAGGAACAACCCCATGCATAGTACACGTTGAAGGCTGACTGGCTGCAGAGCAGCTTTTCAGAGAAGGATCTAGGGTTCCTGGTGGACAAAAAATTTACCATGAACCTGCAACGTGAACTAACAGCAAGGAAGGCCAACAGCATCCTAAACATTGCCAGCAGGTCAAGGGTTGGGAATGGTCTTTTCTAGTGAGTGCTGTGTCAAGTTTTGGGCTCCCCAGCACAAGAGAGGTGTGCACATAGTAGAACAAGTTCAGTGAAAGATCACAAAGGTGTTTAAGAGAATGCGTCATACAAGGAGAGGCTGGGAGAGCAGGAAATGTTTAGCTCGAAGGAGGGAAGGCTGGTGCAAATCTTATCCATGTGTGGAAATATCAGAAGAACAGAATCACAGAATCATCTAGGTTGGAAGAGACCTTCAAGATCACCGAGTCCAACCTCTGCCCCCATCTGGATCCCATCTGGCCCCATCAACTTTTCAGACAGGATCTTCTGTGAAGCTGTTTTATTCGCGATTGCAATGTTGAGTATCCTGCATGCAGGAGCACCCAGCAAAAGTCTGTCATAACCTTGTGTTCCCTATGCACGGGACCTCCCGCAATTATTTTTCAACAGTCTTGGCAATCTGGAGAGGTCCCAGTTGACTGGAAGCTGGCAAATGTTGTGCCAGTTTTCTAGGAGGGCAAGAACGAAGACCCTGGCAACTACAGGCCTGTCAGTCTCACCTCAGTGCCTGGTCAAATTATGGAGAACATTATCCTGGGAGTTATCTGGTGCACAGCTGAGGGACAGTGCAGTCATAGGTCCCAACCAACATGGGTTCAGGGTGGGTCCTGTTTAACAAACTTGGTTTCGTTTTTTTGATAAGATCACCCATCCCATCCATCAAGAGAAGTCAAAGGATTGTCCCACCCTGCTCTGTGCTGTGCGGCCTCACCTCAAGCACTGTGCGCGGTTCTGGGCACCACAGCACAAAAAGGACATGAAACTGTTGGAGAGTGTCCAGAGGAGGGCTACAGAATGGTGAAGGGCCCAGAGGGGAAGACGTACGAGGGCACTGGGCCTGTTCAGCCTGGAGGAGGCTGAGGTGGGGCCTCATTGTGACCTACAGCTTCCTCATGATGGGGAGCGGAGGGGCAGATCTCTTCTCTTTAGTGAGATCTCTTCTCTTTAGCGACCAGTGACAGGACCCAAGGGAATGGAGTCAAGCTGAGGCAGGGGAGGTTCGGGCTGGACATCAGGAAGAGGTTCTTCACCGAGAGGGTGGTCACACACTGGGACAGGACTTTAAGAAGCGTTTGGACTGTGATGGGAGCCGTCGGGCTCCCAGGGCATGGTTCGCCTCACGTTGCACAAATCCCCCATTCAGACTCCATACAGCACACTGGCAACACGCGGCGCTGAGGAGGGTACTGAGCTGTTCTCCTTGCCCTGCTAGAGGTACCAGGACAGGCAGCAGAACTGTAGCTCCAGAAGGAGTGCAATTGGAGCCCATGGAATCAGCTCCTCAGCTAAATGCTCCCCGTGGCTATGGCATTTCCTGACCCGGTGTGGTACAGACACTCACTGACAAAGCGTTTGTTCAAATAAACAATATATATTACAATAAATAATAAACAATATATAAACAATATAATAAAAATTGCAATGTATATTGCAATATGTATTGCAATATATATGTATTGCAGAGCTCGGAGCTGCTGGAGTGAGTGGACACTCCCCAGGAGCCCAGATGGTCACTGTCTAGGTGGAAAGAGGAGTCTCTGCTTTAAGCTTCCCTGCAGCGGTGTCTTCAGCTGCACGGGGTCTGCCTCCCCCAGGGGTGGTTTTGCTGCAGAGACGCCATGGAGGAGCAATTCCCAGCTGAGCAGCATCGTTTCCATGGGCAGCGTGCTCAGCACTGGGGCATGTGGCAAGCAGGGTGTCACTCCTTCAGCTTCGCAGCCACCGAAAGCATCGCTGGTGAAATCCCTCCTGTGCGTGCTTGCCACGAGGATGGCGGTCAGGTCAGGAGGTGGGTGACAGCGGTCATCGAGGCACAGGTGGCAAAGTTAGTGCCTACCAGGGTACAGACACAGAGCTGCAGATGTCTGAGGTGGAAGGTGTGCCGAGCATGCTGAGGTGTTTCCTGAAGAGCAGCATCTCTGGCACAGCGCAGCTCTGGGGCCACCTCGTGCTGCTGCGAACGCCGGCCTCTGACTACTTGAAGGTCAGGTAGGTGTCCGAGTCGTCCTCCTTCACCCCAAGCATGAGCTCGACAGAGAGGCTTTCATTGGAGGCGTTGGTCAGCATGAACTTGCAGAAGCGGGTGGCGGGCAGCATCGTTAGCTGCAGCTGGGCTGACTGAGGCATGGCCCCCCAGGCTTCTGCCACCAGCCCCTGGAACCACTTTGCTGTCTTCCGCACATCCAAGTAGGAGCCACAGCAGAGGGTGTCCAGGAGGTTTGGGTCCTGGTTCTTCAGCTCGTGCTCAGGATGGTGCAGGAAGCACAGCACGTCACCCAGCATCTGCTCCCGTGTGCACATGCACTGCAGCTCAACGCGGAGGCATGAATTCCTCACCAGCCTCTCCCCTTCGGTGCCCAGCTCCAGGTGGAAGGTGTGCCCAGGCGGTGGGTTCAGGGGCACGAGCAGGCGGTAGATGGTATCACACCCAGTGGGACCGGAGGCGCTGCCCACCGCAATGGCTGGCTGCAGCCGTGGCATGAACTCGCTCCTGGGGAGGCCCTGGCAGGCAGCGAGCAGGTTGTTCACCAGTTCCTCCACAACCTTGCACGTTCCTCCCAGGTTCCTCACCGGCCGCTGCAGGTACTCGCTGACGAATCTCCGGGCATCCAGAATGTCACTGGGGTCTTCCTCGGAGTCGTCGTTGTCCTTCCTTCCGGAGACGCCTCTCTTGGTTCTGCTGCGCCGCTTACGGCAGAATTTCATGAGGATGCAGCAGAGCACAAAGAACAGGACGATCGCTCCGGTCAGGACCCAGAAGTGCCAGTGCTGCAGCAGCGACAGGAGCAGGGTTCCCACACGCACCCAGCCGTGCTCCTGGTCCTTCTGCTCGATTTCCATCAGCAGCTGCATCATCCGAGCCTGCAGCTCCTCTGCACGCTGCTGCATGCGCGCGGTTGTAGCCACGTCCAGATCATCGCCGACTTTCTGTGGGCCCTGAATTAAGCTCAGGAAAGTCAACGCGAAGAAAATTTCCGAAACCATGGTCTGCAAGAATTGAGAGAGAAGGGGGTCAGCTGGGTGGGAGCTGGCTGGTGGCTGAGGGAGCCGGGGCAGGAGCTACAGACTCCTGGGGTCAGGTAGGAGAGGGGGTGAGGGAGCTGGGAGGCAGCAGCGACTGCGACCAGAGCTAGCGGTGACAGCCACGAGCCCTGCCCTGAATGGCTGGGCCCTTGCTTCAGGCTTAGCAGCCCTCGGGGGGCTGGTGTTTGTGCCCTGGCCCTGGCCCAGCCCAGCCTTCCCCCTGCTGCTTCACTCACCTCGCCAATGGCTCAGGACAAAGTGAAGCAGCGCTGCCCATGGCTGCCTTAAATACAGTCCCCCCATTGTGACATGTCCTCTGTGCTGTCACCCGTGCCCCCACCCCGCCACAGCCCCCCACAACCCTGGTATTGCCCGAGTGCCAGAGCTCCTCGGGATCCCTTTGCACGGCCTGTGGGAGCCCCCAGGGCCGTCTGCAGAGAGAAATTTGGGTGATGGAGCCCATGGACGCTGTGCTCCTTGTGTGCCACAACGGTGCAGTGCTTCGGAGGAGACATTTCTGGATGGGGAAGAGGCTGTGCGGGAGGGGAGGTGCCCGGCGCTGCCGGAAGCTCGTTCCTGCCGTGCCTGTGAGGAAAAATGTCAATAATTTTTACAGAATCACAGAATCATCTAGGTTGGAAGAGACCTTCAATATAACTGAGTCCAACCTGTGACCTAACACTAACCAGTCCTTCACTAAACCATATCCCTAAGTTCTACATCTAAACGTCTTCTAAAGACCTCCAGAGATGATGACTCCACCACTTCCCTGGGCAGCCCCTTCCAATGCCTAACAACCCTCTCAGTAAAGAAGTTCTTCCTAATATCCAACCTAAACCTCCCCTGGCGCAACTTTAGCCCATTCCCCCTCGTCCTGTCACCAGGCACTTGGGAGAATAGATCAACCCCCAGATTGGGGATTGGGGACAACAGAACCAGCATCTTTTCAGTGCTGCCCAGTCAAAGGACAAGAGGCAAGGAGCACAAGTTGAAAGACAGAAAATTCCACGTACATATAAGAAATACCTATTTGACAGTGACGGTAGTCAAACACTGATGTAGGTTTCCCGGAGGGTTTGTGGAGTCTTCAGCCCTGGAGATCCTCAAAACCCAGCTGGGTGAGGCCTTGAGCAACCTCCTGTAGTTGTTCCAGCTTTGAGCACAGTGGGGCTTGAACTGTACCATCTGATGGGGTCCCTTCCAGCCTCAACTATTACTATTTTGTGATTCTACCTAAATACAGTAGACAAAAAGTTTTGGGGTAAATTGCACTCTTTGCAAGCAGAGCATAACAGCACAAGGAGCCAGGCACAGCCTCAAGTTTCATTGTTGGCCAGGAGCTTCTAGTCAAGAATCCAGGATTTGTGCATACCAGAAGTGAAATGCATATAAACAGACAAATGCTTGAAGAGCAGACTTCAACAGTTCCCCTTGGCACTCTTTGCTAAACCACTAGTAGATGACCTCCAGATTGGAATTTCCAGTGGTAAGGAGATTTTTGACTGAAAAGGTCATATAAAATCCTTCTTAATTTCTGTTTAAATCTGTTAATGCAAGGAACCTGCTGAAACAATGATTCAACCGTGCATAGACTTGTAATTTTAATGTAGTTGAAAAACCTGATTAAACTCCTAACTTCAGAAATTGCTAAGTGTGGCTCTTATGTATATGTGCAACAATATCAGTAAATAAAGGGGGAATAGCACAAAGATGCTTTTCTCCATCTTTTTAATGAATCCTTGTTTAGTATCTCACTTATACTTTCAGGCCTTTGGAACTGTCTGGGTTGGTGCCACGTCCTAGACAGTGCTATGGGTTTTGCTCAGATAAACCACTCCTTTCCTTGCCATGAAAAAAGAGCAGTTTATTCCTATCTGTGCTTATACCTACTCAAGATTAAGTTCTATTTTCTCTCTCTCTCTCTCTTTTTTTTCTTCCTTCATTTGCCCTTCCATCTCCTTGTGCGCCATGGCTCAGCATGTACCTAGAGGCACAGCACACTTAAACTTTAGGTTCTCCTTTGAATAAGAGATCCTACAGCCTTTCTTCCTCTGCATATTCTTCAGCAATTCAGACATTTCTATTGGATCCTCAGTGTTATCTGTGCAGGCTTTAACAGAGATTCAACAACTTACTTTTTTTATCTTGATAGGCTCCAATAGTATCTTTTATGTCAATGTGAACTAGCCTGTCCAGAACAACTGCAAAGGCTTTTCTCTTTAGTAACAGATGGGTGCTTGCATGGTTGGGAAAGAAGATAAAGGCTGGGCCTATATTTTTCAGCCATCTGCTCCCTTGACGATCTTCTTCTTCAAACTGTGTTATGGAAGAGGACTAGCAGAGTCTCCAGCATGATGGTTCTATATAAAAACATGAAAAGATTTGGTTCTTGCTCTAAACTTTTACACTAAAAGGAGACAAATGTCATGAAAATCAGTTAAATTACTGAGTCTTGGCACAGGTAAGCAAGTTGAAGAGGTAAAGCTGGGTCACATAAGCTAGAGAATATTCATCAATCTTTGCAATGCATAACTATTTACCTTGTGTATCGTTCCTCCCATAGACTCTAAAAAACCTGTCAAAATCCCATATATTAAATTTTGCGGCACTGTCAAGTAGAGGCATAGGTATGTGTTTTATACCTGACATGAAAAAGCCTGTTGACAGACGTGCTTGTGTTGAAGGTATTATATGGTGTATGCTCCCTAACTGCACCATTCTCCTACTTGCTTATGTACACACTTTGGTTTGTCCTGCAAGTTGGGAAGTGCAAAGCCTTTTTTTGGTGTTTTTTTTTTTTAAATCCCATGCTGCTTTTTGGAATTTATCCCAGGTCGTAATACCCATGTGCATGCTGTGCTGCTTGGAACTTGTGGGCTATGTCATCCTGGGAGGAGCATTGTAGGTTTCCTACAGGATCCAGTAAAACAGCCTATTTCCCTCTGGGAAAGAGTGGCTTGCCTTTCTTCACTAGTCCAAAGCTAGAGACTATTTTAATCCCCCCGAAGTCTGCACTTTGCTGATCTAGCAAAATACTCAGTTTTTTGTGCTTACTGATGTGTGGAAAAAAAAAATAATAATAAAAAAAAAAGAAGTAGAAAAAAGCATAGATCTTTGTCTGCAAGTCATGTATCCTTATTGGGGAGCACTGCACAGACACATTGCACAAAGACACTACAGTGCTAAGCAGGAGATAAAGCAGGAAGGGCAGATGCAGTACAGATGTGGAAGATCGAATATGTGGCTACCTAGTGGGCTTTTCAGAGCAGGATAACTGCCATTGCCTGAATTGCTCATATTTTCCCTGTGGACAGAACAATACCAATGATTCCAGAACCTCTGCCTGGGGAACCTGCCTCAAATCTCCAATGTCTGAATCAGAAAATGACAGAGATTGGCTACCCCAGCCTGGTGTTTGGTACTGGCAAGTCCACTATTAGACACAATGGGTAAACCATGCTACCAGGAACACATCTGAAACATTACCTATTTTTTTTTTAGAATGGTCTAGAATGGACTGGAATACAAATATCCACTTGATTGCATCATTTGAAAGAGCCACATTAACCTCAGAAAGTAGTATTACTTTGTCCTGTAGGATTAAGAGACTGTTGGGGAGTGTTCATAATCACCTCATGAGGCTCCGCTTCCTCATGTTCTGAAACAAATGATCACTGTCCTCCTCGGACAGCTGAAACCTCCTGCCAGGCATATTGCTCCCTGTCACAGCTCATGGGGATGTGAGCCTCTCATCTCCTGACGTGGCCTGAAAGCATCCTCAGATAATATGGGACATGCCAAACATTTTGTTCTTACTTGCTCAAAGGTAACAGAGTTCCACAGTCATAAAGCAATCATGTAAGAAATGTTGACCTAGGCCAAGAGAGGCTAGTGAAATTAATGTCAAACATGTTTACTTCCCTGCTTTTTACAGGCACTTTAATAAGTAATTGCCTACAACCATGTACAGTGTTAAGTTGCAAAATACCTTGCAACACCTTGCCCTCATTTCTTCCAGACCTTGTGGTCTATATTTGCTTAAGCTTCTAGTGTCTAGGGCTGTTCTCCTGCCTACGGTGTTTTGTCACAGATTAATTTTTGGACTTCATTAGGCAAGCGCTTAATTACTATGGGGAGCAGTATGACATGTTTAAACAGAGAGGCGTACTAAATTCACAGAGTGTACAAGAAAATATTCAAGGAGCCCTGTAAGATTGCTAAAGGAAAAGCAAATGTACTTTCTAACTGTGCGAGTGTGTGCAAACAGGTCAAAATTCAAGCACCTGAAAAGCCAACACTGGGGTATGAGGTGTGATTTCTTCTGCATTTCAGGGTCTTTTCCCTGACACGTCTTCATTTGGCAAGGACTAAAGAGGTTGTCTGACCATGAAGTGAGACCACACAAGCGTCTCCTACAATGCTTGTCTTTGCCTTTTTCATTCTCTGGGAAACAACAGACCAAAGATTCAGAGGAGTTTTGGATGCCTGCCCCTGGACTTGGAGGGAAAGTCATGGGACAGGGATCGTGTGTCTTGGTGTCCATAGTGGCTGCTTCTCAGAGCTCTGGCAAAAGTGCCAAAAGAGCATTTTCTTCTGGCCCGACACTATGGTGACCACATGCTTGTGCTCCTCAATTAGATAGTTAGGTGGTTGTTCCCTCTGTTTTTGTAATGTCTACAATGGGAAAAAACAGTCCATTCTGTATTCATTTTCATGTCTTGTCATAGCAAGACATGGATTCTCAATACGAGAATTACTTACTTCTACATTAGAGAATCACAGTTTTCAGATTTTATTTATTTTATTTTAATTTATGTTGTTTCATCTTTGGTCTCAGCAGTCTGTAGCAGTTTCTGGAAAAAGGTGTCAAGGCAGCAACAGACCATATTAAGAGAAGGTGGGTTTTATTTAGCACTTTGTTTAAGTTACTTCTATAGGCTTACTGACTTCCAGTGGAAAGTAATTTGCCTCTCAGCATTGCTGTGGTTAAGCAGATGATGAGAGCCACAGGCATGGCACTGTGTGACTTTCTCACAACCTGGGCAAGCTGCTGGGTTAGATGACGTCCTAGAGATCCCTGAATGGGGAAAAGAGGAAACCTTTCTGGCCAGCATGGCCAGTCTCCCAGCCTGCACAAAGCTTTTTAAGAGCCCTCTGAACACACAATGAGCAAGTAAAAGGACATACATTCTCAATTACACAGAAGCTTGAACACAAAGCACGTTATTAATTGGCCAAATCCATTCCTAACATGCCTTCTCCCTTACATATTGGCAGCTGCTACTTCACAGCCATCAGGATGGATCTGGAGGAACACTGATCGGCTGCCGACGTACCTGCCTGTTGGGTGATACCTGCCGAGCAGCACGCCCACAAGCACAGCTTCTCTGGCACAGAGGGAGAAGAAGTGAATGGGTTGCTATTTATCACCAGGAGCTTCCATGATTTAGCTCTGAAAACTGAATGCTCAAAGGAGCCATTGCCAAAAAGCATTGGCTGCTGCGCTGCCTGGGACAGCTTCCATGTAAGACAAACCAGTACAGACTTCTGGTGACTTTTAACTTCAGCAAATACCATCCACTAAAGCAGCCCCACAGCTGAAAAGTTAAATCACAGCTTAACTTTGGTAAAACTTTTCCTCAGTCTAGTTCACCAACACTGTGCTTATGCAGATTGGTTTATCAGCAAAGCGCAAGCTGCAGTATTTCCCCACACTATAAACCCTCTTCACCTCGGGGACAAACCCTCTGTGAAAAAAAGATATCGTTAGCATAAACGAAGCCACCAAGAGGATGAGGTTTAAGTATGTGGTTGACTTAAAAGCTCTGCAGCACTGGTGCTGTTACAGGATTTTGGTTAAGGTCCTTGAGACAGGGTTGGAGAAGCATTCTCATGGGGTCTGAAAGAGCAGATCCATACAAGAAGTCTCACTGCAAAAAAAAAATTGCTCAAGTATACAAGACAGTTTATTTAAGGGAAAAAAAAAAAATCACATCAGGCTAGTTATAGTTTCATTTGCAAATCACCACACCACACCTGGCTGGAGGCAGCGGTGAAACCAAGCAATGCAGCACAAGCCATCAGCTGCTTCCGACAGTGACTTTCCGCATGAGTTCACCACACTTGCCTACAAACGTATAAACCCAGCCTGGTTTCCCTAGGTCGAGATTTATGCACGTAACTGCATATATAAAAATATTTTAACTTCTGTGTGACGATTGCTGAGACTTGTTTTATTACATAATTAAAAAATAATAATAATAATAATAATAATAATCCCCATGGCAATTCTGTGTGGTACAATTGCTCAGCTGATGTATATAGAAACACCCCT